CTAGCAGAACCCCCCCACCCTCCTCCCCTGGCAAGGGTCCACTGCTTGTTGTCATTGGGCTCACGTAGGCTCACGCTCAAACACACACACACACACACACACACACACACACACACACACACACACACACACACACACACACACACACAAAAACGACAAACACACAAACTAAAAAGCCCAACAACTTCTCAGACAAAGACAGCAGGCGTGCAACATATGTATCCAGCGTGTTAGCATCCACGCTGCCAGTGTTCAAGAGGCATGTGAATGCTTCTGTGTGTGTGTGTGTGTGTGTGTGTGTGTGTGCGTGTGTGTGTGTGTGGAGGAGGGGGGCAATAGTAATGTGAGGTAGTAGATGGGATGGGGGTGTAAGAGGGGGGGGTTCACATAGGCAATAATGAGAGCTGGCACCAATCCAGACTGCCTGTTTGAGAGAAAACAACTGCACGCCTAGTGTGTATGCATGTCTGAACGTGTGTGTGTGTGTGTGAGAGACGCCTGTGCGAGTGGGAGAGAGCAACGAGGGCAACAAATGCGAGATGACGAGACAGCAAAGCGTGGCACAGACAGACACGGCAGCGAAAGCAAACGAGGACACAGTGTGTAGGAGACAGACGGAATACGTTTGGGTTTTTTTTCCTCTCCGCTCGTACAGCGAGCAGCAACAGAGAGGGAAAAAAAGAAAGAAAGTGAAACAAAGATTTGTTTTGGAGGTTCAACTTTGCCAAGAAAAGTTTCCAGAGTGAATCTATATTTCGTTGACTGTGAGTCGGGAACACAGAGTGCGGAACCTGTGACCTGCTCAGTGGCGTGCAAAAGGGGGGCCCGTGGGGCAGGAGCGGCCCTGGGCATCCGCTTGAACGGGGGCATTCACAGCACCCCCAGTCGATTGGAAAAAATACAATCAGCAGCAATATGCCTTCCATTTAATAATTATTCAATACACTAGCGAAGTCAAACAGAAAAATATTATTTTTCGTGCCTTGCTATACATGTCATCCATTTTGGTCACCGTAACCACTGGTTCATTTCCAATCGCTTTATGGTAAGACGGTAAGAAAACAAGCACACAAGAAGCACATTTATTCAATAGCTGTCACAAATACACTGGCTAACTGTTAGCCACTTAACAGGCAGCGCTCTCCAAGCAGCCAACCGAACAACTCGACACTCTCATTCGCTGACTCCAATGTCACTCAACAAGCCGGGCCCCACCTTTTAAAGCCACATGCATTCAGAGTCACAAATACAGTCGAAGCTCTTATCAGCGTACCCTGTTTACTCCGTTTCCACCCTTACAACGTTCACATTTCAAAGTCCTGATTTAACATAATTCATTTTCCATTTGCTGAGTTTGTTTACAACAAACACCCTTATAACGACTAGCTTTTTAACAGGGGGAAGCTAAATGCCTGCTCGACTTTGCTCATGAACAAAATGTACAGGGTGGGATTCCCCTCTGTTGCTTAGCAACGCTACTGATCGACTTGTACATTGTTGTACTTCCGGAGGCACGGCGCACATGGTCTGAAAACATGTCTGGTAAACAGAAGGAAATCTCGCTGTCTGTGAAGGCTGACATTGTCCCTCACTTACGAAAGGGAGTCTCCCAGACGAAGCTCAGCTGAGACTACGAATTGGCAAAGTCGACGATTTCGAAAATCATCCGTCATGGAAACAAAATCACAGCACTGTTCGAGACCAACAGATTGAAGGATGATTGTAAACGGCTCTGGGATGCGGCACATCCTGAACTGGAGAAGGCACTTTTCATTTGCTGACCGAATGTCACGTTGCGAGCGAAGCGGAAAGGAACACGCTTCATTCGCAACAAAATTGAAATATAGGATTCCCGAAACAGCAGACACCAACAAGAACTCCGTACGAAAATAATATTTATTAACAAAAACCGCACCGCCGAAAAGAGACAACAGAAAACGCTGGTCAAAACGAGTACCAGGAAAACATGCAAAAACCCAGTAACAAAAAAACGCTCGCACTAAGGCAAGGGAGAAAAACAAACTCGAATACGAATTACACACGACGAAATGACGACACCAAAAAGAGCCGACGAATCTAACTCGTGTATTAAGTCTAATACGAAAGGCAAAAAACTGACACACGGGCAAACAGTGGCACGGGAAGCAATTCTCCGGCAAGTGAGAGTCAGAAAGACAGCCCTAATAAAGCAGGTGCTTAATGACAAATAGGTAGCAGGTGTGCAGCCGGCCAGAATGCACCGCCTGCCACCTGCTGTCGAAAACGGGACATGACACCGAATGTTTTCAGAGATGAAGTCGGAACACTACAGTTGTTTGTTTCATGTCTCATAAAATTTTTCTTCATACGGATGTATTTGTAATTGACATGTTTATACAGTAATACTTGTCCATGTTTTTACATCTCAAAATGTTCACACTGTATTATACATCGTCATCGACGGCCATTTTATTGGAAATGTTTACAACGAAACACCGTCAAAAATAACGTACAGATTTTTCTCGACATACGTTGTAATGAGGTTCGACTGTACTGTGTATAGAAAACAGAGGATGGCGACCCCAAGTGAACGGCGATAATTCCTGCACCTTAGATGCATGTTTTTTTTCAATAAAAGTTGGGAAACACTTGTTTGTGAACATTTGTGCTAGCGTTCCGATGGAAAAAAAAAGAAAGGAGGGAGTCAAACCAGGATGGAGTCGATGCTTACAGGTACCTGACTGGAGAGGCTGAAGTTGGTGGCAGGGCTGCGCTTCTTGCCGGCGGCGGCGCCCACGCTGCTGCTGGCGCTGCTGGCTGAGTTCTTCCGTTTCCTCCGCTTGGTGGTGGTCTGTCGGGCGGGCTCAGCTTTGGCGCGACCAGCAAACACAAACAGAGGCCATGCCAGGGACATAACGCATACAGTCGGGTACAAAGGGGGCGGCGGCTGGCACCATGCAGGAGTGGTCATCTGTGCGGCCAATCTATGCATGCACTATCTTTATATGGAACTTGTTTAGTAACGTGAGCCACATGTATTCATGCATTCCGTTGAGGCACAGATGACATTGATGCTTGAATCTGCTTGTCTGCTATTGTGTGTTTCATCACGAGCTTTTAAGAACATTCCAACATCAATGCATGTTGCATGGCAGGCCTCATTCTGAATATGCAGCGAGGTCAAGGCATTTGGCGGGCAACGAGGCTTTTGTCTGTCTGGGAACAAAAGATACCTTTTTTGTGATTGGTGGGGAATATTTCCGTTTTGAAGTTCTGCGGGTGTCCAGCTGAAAGTCAAAATTGTGATGATTATTACATCATATATATACAGTAAATATTCTCTAGTGCGGACTCGTGTTTGCGCCGTCCAATTTGTCCTAATAACAGAAATTCCTCATTTGGGAAATGAGCATGGTACATGTCCTTTATGAACCTGCAAGTATGTTGACAAAAATGCACGTGTAACAGCACAATCAATAAAATACAAAAATATACTGTCCCAAAACTTTATATAACAAAAACTGCAATACAGGTGTATCCAAAAAAAATCACAACAGTAAA